TATTGAGCCCACAGTTGATCCTTTAATATAAATGATAATAATAATCATAGTCATATAATCAGCCAGATGTTTAGACTGGATTTGGCATTTTTATACACCTATCAATTATCTCCCAAGGACCTGGGATAGGCAGATGTTGTTTGATGGTGTCAAAGGTATTGTCACAGGATGCAAGCTGCCATTTGCAATTGACTGATAGTGATTTTGTCGATACCAATGGTGTTCAAGTGGTGATCCAAATGTTTTCGGATTATTATGTATTTAATCCCGCCTTTTAATATATTTTTGGTCAGCTCATTGTTCATTTTCAGGCAAGAAATTTACTGGCACCTAAAATATAGGAATCTGCCTAGTATTAATCTACTATAGCCTGTTCTGATGGCAGTGGATTTCTACAGAATCCTGGTGCTGTGTTACTGAAGATGCCACTATACAGCAAGATAGAAAAGCAAACTTTGACCAGTCTCAGCACTTTATAATACGTACTAAAGAAGACTCATAATGGGGGGGGGTCAAAAGCACTTTTCTCATGTAACATTTCATAGAGTATAAGTTGTCTTTATTATATAATGTTTCCTCTTTTTCTGTTGTGGGTTAGATAAAGACTGGACAGATGATGACCGGATCAGAGAGAAGGTATTGATGGAGGAGCTTGTAACCATTATTGAACAACGGAATGCCATTGTTAACAGTCTGGATGAGGATCGGCAAAGGTAGTGAAATGAAAAGCAAATGGGTGCATCTTTGGTTCATTGAAAACAATTGGCCTGAGAAATGTTGATAGTAGCACCGCAAAGCATAATTGCATGTGTGATTCTTACTATTAATTCTTTGATAACCAAAGCCAGGGTGATGCTAGTAATTTGAGCAAAAGGGTAGTGTTAGTATATGTAGGAGAGGGGTGGGCAATTTGCAGCTCCAGGAATCCTCTGCCACCATTAGCTATCTTTTCAAGAAGGATACATTCACAAACTGTAATGAATATCCCAAAATAGATTTAATACAACTTAAAAACTTTTTTTAATTGAAAATTCAGGCCACAGCATGTGTGTGATGCATTTTCCCTATTTGGATCTTCACCTGCTTAAATATTAATTTCAGACTTTAGACACCAAATAGTAGCTCATCTCTGGTTTGTTGTTGTTCTAATCAATCCCACTTTGGCTACGTTGACTAAAACAGAATCTGATTGTTTTTCTTGTTTTGCCAGGGAGGAAGAGGAGGATAAAATGTTGGAAGCCATGATTAAAAAAAAAGGTAAGAAGAATGAGATCCAGTCAGACTTCCCAGTTTCAGATTCAGTTGTTGTTCGCAGAATTATGCGCTGATATTGTTGTTCAACTACTAATTAAATATGTTTGTCTTCTGTACAAAATATGTTAAATGTCTGTACCCAAGCTAACTTCAGTTCTATCCCGACAAAAGCTAATTATATAATTAGGTATAAAATACAAACCAAATACATCTAAGTAACTTACCCTCTTTTCCACAACACATCATAGCAGCAAAGTATACTTCTTGCTTCTTGCAGATGGGAGGAATTAGAAGTGGGGAATATAAAGTAATGTTTCTTCATCCTAAACTGGCTTTGGCAATATGTGGTGTTGACACACTTTCTCTGTTGTGAGGGAACATCTTTGCCAAAAGGGGCAGCACATTTGTTACCATGAACCAAGGGAGAGGGAAGTTTCTTTCCCTTTGCCATTGATGGATGTGAGGGCTATCTGGCTGCGACATCTGTCACCCCATGATCGCCAGGGTTGATTCGGGTGATCTGGCTGGCTAGGCGGGTGTCCCCTTCCTCCCTCACCTCTCCATGTGCGTCCCTCACGAAGCTGCACGCTCGGTGGAAGAGGACGACCATCCCAGATAGAAGGAGTGTACCGCTCTTCGGTCAAGGGAATTTCCCTTTGCCAACACAGGAGTAGCAAATCACTTTTAGCTTAGGGATCAGAGAAAGCTATGTGAAAAGAGGAGGTAAACTGAGGAATTGTACCAATGAATCTAAATCTGCCTTTCTCCTCCAGTGCCAGTATAGAAGAGGGCAACCCTCCTTTCCTTTGAAGCAGATATCTTAAGGAAAGAATGCAAGCCATGAACATTTTTCAGGGACGTGCACTTAATTTTGTTATTTCACATTGATTTTGATAGCTGCAGAGCAAAAACAAATAGACGTCATAGAAGTTCTGCCCAAAATATTGGAAATCCAGCCTCCTTTGTGATTTGGGATTTTATTATGTTTTCAAAACTTTTTCACAGTCATAAACACTAGAAACTTGTTCTGTAACAAGAACAGTTCATTGCCGAGAGAACATGATTTTTTCTTTGACCTGGAGAATCGCAGCATACATGCTGGCTGATTCTGAGCACACTGTAATAATTCTAAACTGAGATTCTATTTTCATTCCCAGAGTGGTGCAGATTGAGTCATGAACATGTTCAGTGGCTATTGTGGTCTTAATATTTGCCATCTGAAAATCTTTCTTAATCCAATACAGGAGGAGGAAAAAAAATCTGATTCTGTAAACTTTGCTAGCTCTGATTCCAAGCTGATCAAAATTCTGTAAACTTTGCTAGCTCTGATTCCAGGCTGATCAAAATTTTAGAAAACATGCAGATAAATAAATTTATATTCTTAGATAATAGGCATGTACAAGTTCTGAATGTTACAATCACTAAATATAAAATTTAAAATGTAAAATTTACATTCCTGTAAATCCTGTCATTGAGGCATTTTCTGGACGTATTGCTTAAGCATCTGTATTTTAAAAAAGCCTTTCCATATGTATAGAAAGGACATTGGGCTAGTTCAGTGCTTGATGAGGTAGGGTTAGGAAGAATTGTTTCTGAAAACCAAGAGCTTTGCAATTTTGTTCAGTTTAGGCAAAGACAGTTGAGTGGTATAACTGATTCTAAGTGAGCTTTCTCTGCTCCTAATCTCCCCTTCCTCTCTCCACATTGCATCCCACTAACCCTAATCCTTTCTCTCTCCAGAATTTCACAAGGACTCTGAGGCAGATAGCAAGAAGAAAGGAAAATTCAAACCAATGAAAGTGCTGAAGTTACTTGGAAATAAACCTGACTCAAAAAGCAGATCCCCCAAGGAAAAAAGCTAAAGCAGCTGGCAGCTAGAAGAGCAAGGAGGGGCTGCTAGTCTCTTTGACTGCTCAGCCTCATTTAGCTGGGCACACCTGGCAAGTAGGATGGCTTCCTGCTTTTGCCCATTTTTTAAAAAGAAGGTTGTGCCTTGCCATACACCAAAGCTGGCTTTATCTTGTAAAAATCCTACTACCTTCCAGCAGCAGGTGTTCCTTTGCCTAGAGAAGGGGGAAATATGGCAAGTCTTATGAGCACATTACATAAGGGGCAGACATGGAGGAAGAAGCTGTTTGCCATTTTCTCTTTCAAGGTGGGGATGGGAATGGACAAATAAAATAGCTTTAGACTTCCTCAGTTGTGCACCTATTATATCTTTGACTGTTCAGAACTTTTAATCATGAGTGTCTTGGGGAAAGTTGCACTAATTGTTCTCCTTTAACTGTGATAGTCACATGTGCCTAATAATCTCTTGGGGGAGGGAGGAAGAAGAGAATCCCCATTGCAGTTTGGGAGCCTCTGGATATCTCTTCTGAATTCCTTTTCTTATTCTTTTTTTCTTCTTTGATCATTCAAAAAAAAATTGGGCTTTCAGGGCAGATTTTTTATTGTGGGCTTAAGTTTTTAAAATACTATATATTGATTCCAGAAACGTCTATTATAAAGTCTGCAAAAACAGCCAAAAATCTAACCAATACTCTATTTCTGGAAGATTTCTCTGCCACCAAAGAAGATAACTATGCTGTGAATGCCGATTCTCTTGGCGACCAATTAACAAACCATAGAGGAAAGGTTAAGACAGCTTTGGCATGTGTTGTAAAGCCAATTGCAGTTCCCAGCATGACCAGCCATGCTGTCAGAGGGTAGATTTGTCCAGGTGTGAATGGAAAACAACTGGATCTTTTTAATCCCATTAGTTGCTGCTGCTGCTATATATGTCAGGGGACACAGCAGACTGGGAGAATAACTCATTGCCTGCCAAACATTAGGGCCAGAAGAGGATGTCAAGCTGTATTCAGTATCAACAAGGTACCATTGTAATTCATTCTTAGCGCCCTCCCCTCAGGTTTTATGTGCATGTTTTTTTTCCCCTAAGAGTTATAATTTTTGTAGCCAAACTCCCACCCTCTACCTGACTTTCAGCTTTGTTTTAGTTTTGTTTGTGTGTATGAATTCAGAGGGGAGAATATCTTTTTTTCTCTTCTGGCTTCTCTAACTTGAGGGACTATTTATTGAGATGTTTGTTTGGTCTGAGTTAAATGTTGATAATATTATAGGTGTTGGTTTGAGTTCGTATTAGCAAATTGCTGTGCTGCTTTATTCAAATGTGATGAATTGGCAAATAGTCCTTGACTGAGATATTCAGCCTGGAATGCCCTCCCTAACTTGGAGCCCTCCAGATGTGTTATACTACCATGTACATTTTGTCAGCCAGTATATCATTTTAATACTAGTTGGGGGTGATGGATAATTCAACACGTCTGGAAAGCAGCAGTTAGGGGTTAGACCCTTTCAAAGCAGAACCAAATTCATTGGTGGTGTCAGCTCTGATTGGGACCACCTTCTCAGCCTCTACAAGATTCTTGCTCTCAGCTACAAGGTGGTCCAATGCATAACTTTCTCTCTTATAAAAAACAAAACAGTCAATCTTTTAAAATGTCATCAGATACATTCCCATCAGAAAATATCAGATTCTGGTGAACATAATTATCCTGTGTTAATTGCAATCTCCACTGATGGGCACAGATGAGATCAATAATAAAACCAATAAAACCACTATATTTTGTGTTTGTTTCTATAGTTTGAGATGTCTTGGCAGAAAGTGAACACAATACATTACGGTATATGGAATGAAAAATAGAAAATTACAAAATTCTCAGGACTTTTATTTTTTTTTACAAGTGGAGTAATATACAACTATCAAAAGTGAGCTGGACCAAAGCAAAAAGTGTGACAATGAGAAAACATCCCTTACTCTTGTCCAATTACTTTTGTGATATTAAGTCTTTTTTAAACAAGTGACAGACATGTGAATAGTCATAATGAAAATGGTCCTATGTCTGTAATTTTACTGAAGAAGCATTCATCAAAAATAACTGCCATCTAAAATCTTCCAATTTTCTCTTTCATACTCCGATAGAATAGTCACCACTGTTCGCTTAAGAGTTATATGATGAGTGAGAAACAAGTTTTGAGTGGAAGCAGCATCCCAGTTGATGGCAGAATCATATATAAAATATTTTTGATCTATTCTAATTCTAAAAAACAGCAGCACATAAATGGTAGAAACATAGATGCTTTTTTCCAGAGATGAAGTATGTAGAAATACTTTCCTCTTGTTTGTCAAGGCAAGCAAGCTGATACTCATTCTAACCTTGTGATTCATTTGAACCCTTTTGTTTCTGGATCACATTTTTGAAAAGGCTTCCTGCCATTACATATTGAAACAGGTTGTTCCTACTTTTCCAGAGTCATACAATATTTCTGGACATTAAATATATTCTACAGGTACTTGCCACGAAAGAGTCAAAACTGTACTAATAAAATATTCTTCACATTCTCTTATGTCTGCAGAAAAAGTAAGGGTAAAGGAGTTATATCCGTAGGGGTGTGTGTGTGTGTGTGTGTGTGTGTGGCGGGGGGGGACTATTGGTCTACTTGAACCGTGCTTGGATTGTCATGTTTGATGCCTATATTGAAAGACTTGGCTATTGCCTGTTTTAGTTCTGCTGTTCTCTGTTTGTCAATCATCTCCATCTCCCGGAGCTTCTGCAAACAGCAGAAAAAGGAGACATAATAAGAATTCAATAAATTTTAATTTTCTTACAAGATAATACACAAGTCTTACTCCAGATGAAGATGTATTACCACCTCCACTATAACATTTTTAAAAGGTTCTTTTTGCTTTAGATACACACATGCCCCTCTGCTAAATCTTTCCCCACTTTCTCAAAATATCATCATGTCCAATTTTCAAATGAAAAAAAGATTGCATTTAAGGTCAGAATTACCAAGTACCTGTGATATTTCGGTTTGGATAATTCCTTGATACGCTTTGCTCTGTCCCAATGCTTCCATTTCTGACAGGAAATTTTGTCGATCTTGAATTTCATTCACCACTGAGCACAAAGACAAATGAAGCAATGTGGAATGAAAGATTAAGGGGAAGGAACATAGTTGTTCTTCTGAAGTTTGAATAATTATTTTCCCATTTTATTTAAAAGACGTCTGTAGCAGCCCATCTTATGGGTCATAACCCTGGGAGGCTTGCAACAGCATCAACATGAAATAAAAAACAACATTGAAACATGCTACATTAATTCTCTGTATGCTATTTAAACCTGTTCATGACCACCGCTTCCATTGGGGGAAAATAGATGCATTGTGTTATATAGTTATGTGAAAAAGAAAGTGCACCCTTTTTGAGTTCTATGGTTTTACTTATCAGGACATAATAAAAAAAATAATTTGGTCCTTAGCAGTTCTTAAAAGTAGATAAATCTAACCTCAGATGAACAAGAACACATGACATATTACACCATGTCGTCATTTATTTTACAAAAAGAAAGCCAAAATGGAGCAGCTACATGTGAAAAACTGCTTTCATAGCTATGAAGAGGCTAAGTAGCAGCCAGGTGCTGCTAATCAAGTATCCTCGATCAGTTGATCATCAGCAAGTGTGACTATCTCTATAAAAGCCCAAGGTTTAGGAGTTTGCTGGTCTTCAGCATTGAGGTGTGTGTTAACACAATGGCAAAAAGAGGAAAGACATCAGCAATGATCTTAGAGCAGTGGTTCTCAACCTATGGGTCGGGACCCCATTTGGGGTCGATCGACCATTTCATGGGGGTCGCCAAGCAAGGCTGTCTGCCATTTTTTTTGTCCGCCATTTTTTCCCCCTTTTCCGGCGGGTGCCTTACCTCCCTTGGGCTGGGCCAGCTGGTGGTCAGCCTGCTCCGTCTCTGCCGCTTGCCAGCTATGCCTCGGCCGGCGCAGGGGGCGGAACCACGCATGCGCGGCGCTCCCGGGCAGGGAAAGTCCTCGACTTATGACCGGTTTAGTTCTCGACTTACGACCGGTTGGGGTCGCGGCATTAAAAAGGTTGAGAACCACTGTCTTAGAGAAACAATTGTTGCTGCCCATCAGTCTGGGGAGGATTATAAGGCCATTTCCAAACAATTTAAAACCCATCATTCTACAGTGAGAGGAAGATTATTCACAAGTGGAAAACATTCAAGGCAGTTTCCAATTTTCCCAGGAGTGGCTGTCCCAGCAACTTCACCCCAAGGTCAGGCCGGGCAAAGGTCACAGAAATTGCAAAAAATCCAAGAGTTACATCTCAGACTCTCTAGGCCTCATATAGCATGTTAAATGTTGAAGTTCATGACAGTGCAATTAGAAAAAAACTAAAGTATGGTTTTTTTGGGAAGGGTTACCAGGAGAAAGCCTCTTTTCCTCTAAAAAGAACATGGCTGCACAGCTTCGGTCTGCAAAGTTGCATCTGAACAAATCACAAGTCTTCTAGAACACTCTCCTTTGGACAGATGAGATCAAAGTAAAGATGTTTGGCCATAATGCACAGTGCCATGTTTGGCAAACACCAAACATCAGCACAAACATCTCATACCAATTGTCAAGCACGGTGGTGGAAGGGTGGTGATTTGGGCTTATTTTACAACCAGAGGACCTGGGCACCTTGCAGTCATTGAGTCGACCATGAAGTCCTCTGTATATCAAAGCATTCTAGAAACCGTTGCATCAAATGGTTTGGTGTCATCCTGGGTAGTAGTCTACAACACTATGCTAAAGTAATGATTCTGCCATACTGCATTAGTGGGATAAGGGTGGTTTTCTGTGCTTCATCCTGGAAGTATGAGCAATCTTTTGCAAAGACAGTATAGCACGTAAGCCACTGATCTGACAGTGCTCAGAATCTAAGGAGACAAGCAGGAGGGAATAAATGTCTACTAGCTACAAACAGGCAGTATTCATAGAACACGCTTTAATCAGATCAGGTCAATTCTTAGAAGCTGCATTTTACACATCCTAATGGTGTGGATCTAACATCTAACTTGGTTAGAGCTAATCTTAGTTTTTAGTGGTGGCATACTATATGAACATAGCATGTTTGCTTATCTTCTGGTTCAATGTATGATGCCAATTCAGTAAGTGGATTAGCATTATAAATTAGGGATCATCACACAGACAAATGTTTACATTGGATTTGGTATTTTTATCAACCAATTGAGTCTTCTCAAGGACAGCTGCCTTTTACAATTGACTGATGGGGATTTTGTCAATGCTGATGGTGTTCTAGTAGTGATCCAGTTGTTTTAGGATTGCACGTAATGTACCTATTACCATGTGGTACCATCTTTGCTTTCTTTTGCCACAGTCCTTCTATTGCAGTTCTTTGTATTATATCTGTATTCCAGTGGTGCCTGTGGGTGTAAATGTTTGAGTTCCTGAACTACAACCAACCTTTTATCCTAAGCTAATGTATGGCATGAACCCTGCCAGAGTGTATCCTTTTAACTAAGGAGGTCTACTTACATTCATCAAATCGGTCCAGCTCTAGTACTGTTTCTTCTACCTTGACTGGTTTCTTCTGAGTTTTCTTCTCCACTTTGTCCTTTCCTGTTGCTAAGATGTTTTGCAGTCTTTCTTTCTCCTTCTCCAGGTCTCCTGTAAATACAAAAGAAATATTATTACTGATTATAAAAATATTGATCAGGATTCCTGGATAGGATAGCTGACTGTTCCTCCCCCCCACACTTCACATTTGGGAAGAAGGACCATGGACTTGTTTGAATTTTGGATTGCTGAAGCTTGATGCTCAGCAATTCACGGTTTGATTCAAATCTCAGGCATTTATATATTAGTGGTTGTAGGAAAACTATTCTTTCTGACCAACCTTATCCTAACCTACTAAATAGTAAATAAAAATTACCACACAATGCAAAACATAAAGAACAGACTGTGTTCAAAAGAAGACAAATTTAAAATGTCTAAGCAAATGAGTACAAATGAAGCCTGATACACAAATGGCAGCAGTTGAGACTGCTAAATGGAGAGAATTTTAGTACTTCTGCACACAAGACATTCCCTTGGTTATCATATTCTTTCTCAGACATTTCTCTTTGAAGAGTTGCACTAATCTGGCAGATCATTTAGATTCATCAAGCCTTTCAGCGGGTAGTCCTTCTTTAACTACTGCAACTGGGAACCACCAATCAGTCATTAAGCAAAATGGCAGCTAAGCGGGAAAAATATGTCACTGTGTTTACAATTTTACATCAACTTTACAACATCAAAAGGATATGACCTCAAACAGCAGGGAAGGTTTCTGGAACTTGACTCACAAGGAAGCCAGGTAAAAGGGCAAATCTTAAGGCTCCTTTTCACCATTTTGGGTGCTCACTTCAGTCCTGGGATAATTAGCAAGGGAATTAGATCATTCATGTTTGTATCTACATTCATTGGAGAGGAAGAGATTATAAGAAGTAAGCAGGCACACAATGTGGAATACAGATCATCAGCTGTTTGCCAGCACACATGGGAGGCTTGAGCCACTTAGGAGGCAAATAAAGGCCTTGAGTGAGACATCGATTATGGTCTTGTCAATTTCAGACAGCAACGGTGCAGATCCAGGGTTCTAATCAAGTAATTAAAATCACAGAATTGGGGTTAGCACTTTTCAGTGACCCTCTGCATTGAAGAGAGAAGCAGCTTAGGCAATCCTTTTGTACTGTAAAGGAGGTAAAGGGAAAAAAAAGCAGATCAGGCAATGGACAACATGTACCGTGTGAAATGGTGAACATAAATGTGGTCATTGGTTGCAAAGTTATATTTTCATAGGTTGTAAAGTAATTTTCATCACTGTGGTAACTACAAGTGGTTGCTGCCCAAGCAGTACAGTAGCTGAACAAAGATTACTTGTAAATAATAAGTATAATCATTGTTATTTATCTCTCGATTCCTGCATTTATCATTTGCAAATGTTTCTTGCTTACGAGTGGCTTGAGGTTTGAATTTTTCTCTGATATATGCATTTCCTGCACGGCAAATTTCTGCAGGCCGGAGGTGAGGTCTACCAAAGGGACTGGTGGTCAAAATAATCTTTGATGATACAGGCTTTGGAAACTCTGGTTCTCTGCTGGATGTTGGATAACACTGTATGGGGAAAGCATCACCACCTAAGAAAGAAGGGCAAAGATTGGTCAGAAAGGAAGTAAATGTAAAGCTGGTGGCATGCATGTACCATTTTAAGTATACATGGCAGAGTCTCCTTTCAGCCAAACTCAGTCTCTGGCAGCTTCTTAGATATGTCCATGTAGTATTCTTGGCAGTGTCTAGATTTGACCCCAAGGTTAAATTGCTAGGTACAAATATGTGTTCCAATTTAATATTTCAGGAGGGATTCTGTAAATTGGCTTCTTATAAATGCATAAAAAGAAAATGTATAATAGGAATGATTCATGTTTTAATATGAATTCAGAATTATTTAAAACTAAATAGTCCCTCGACCTACCTTTATAATACATGCTGACAATCCCAAACTTTTACAGAAGATTCCTTATGGTTCTAGAGAGTTGGATAAACTAGAGTTTATTAAGAGGTATTCATCATCTGTGACTTAACTGTATTCCATTAATGTTCTGTTCACTTCCTGAGTTTATATACATTTCTTTTGCAAGGGAACAGTTTGTTTTTTTAGCTGGAGAAAGTCAAGTGGCTGAACTAAATTTAGAAATCCGAAAACCAGAACTAATAGCTTTGCAGACTTTAAAGAGGCATACTTACGTTTCATGCAATTTTAGGCATACTTACGTTTCATGCAATTTACAAGATGGCGTTGCTGGAAACAAGTAAGCTTAGATTCTTGCATCATCACTGAAAGAGAAAAAATATCTATACAGATCAGCAACAACAACATCACTACCTTTGCAGAAACAGATTTACCCGAACAGTACCTACATATAAAAAGGAATCCCAAGCCTTGAGAACAGATACCCACAAATGCTATAAAGCTATAGTCCAATATAGCAGCCTTTTCCAATGAGATGTCTTCCTGCTCTCTTTTGGATATAAATATAATTGAAGGGCATCCAATTGTAGAATACTATAGCATAATTAATATTCAAACCCCTTTTCAGAATATCTAACCAATTGCAACAACGGGTTTTCTCCACAAAACTATTTTTATTATTGTTGTTATTCTGGAATACAGAAATCCAAAGTGAAGTTTTTTCTGGGTTTTTTTACTTTAAACAAGTAGTATTCAAAAGGCTGTATTTTTTTCCTGTAACCAGTTTTCAGCTTATAACTTTATTGGCATGACTAGATCTTGTGATTAGCTGCTGTGGAGAAAGGTATGCAAGAATTTATAACTCATATTAAGGAAGAAATTCAACACAGGCTTTTTTCTACAGTCACTAAAATCATCAAAGACTAGGGATCCTTAACTTACATTCTCAATTTGTACAAACAGTAATTTAGGTAGTAGTTTTAAAATGCAACAAGATAATAACCAGGACTGGGGAGCATTACTTCCTGAGATACTTTTCTATTCTGCTTGATTACCTTTTAACAGCTCTTGCGTTTCCTGGCTATATTCCTTCACAGTGGGAACATGCCAAAATCCAGTTCCTTTTACCACAGGCCTGATCCTCTCTTGAGAAGCCATTGTAATACAATATCCTGAAAAAAATTGATAAAGAGATCTATGAGTTATTAAGATCACATCTCAAACATTAAAACAGTTTTTAAGATCACATCTTTATTTCTCCTACTGATTTTTCACCAGTGTTTATTTGTCATATTTATTTTATTTATTAAATTTCTATGCCGCCTGTGTTGCTCATACAGCAACTCTGGGAGGCTTACAATAGACTGAAAAGATAAAAAGTGCTGAAAACAGTTACAATTAGAAAAATTCAATAAGGAAGTTAAAAGTTAAAAGCCAAGATCTTCTCTGTTAGCCACCTGGCAGCCACCCACAAAATAGTAAGCCACTGTTGGGGCCCCAGACCAAAGGACAAAGCCATATTTTTAGACTTTAAAATATGGGCAGAATATTCAGTTGAAGATTTTAATTGACAATCTTAAAACAGGAGGGGTTCCAAGGAACACTGGATATTCTGAATTTCTCTAACAAGTTATGTCTGGCAGCATATACTTTTTAAAGCTATGTAGCACTTCCAATTTTAAGACAAAAAAATATTTTCAGAGCATGCAGGATGTGCATATTGAACTTGTATTGCACCTCCTTAAAGCTGCTATACTAAGGTGACCAACTTTTTTACAATGAAAAGGAGGACACAAATAAATTGAAGAAAAAAATATCAATAAAATAAACATTTTATTCATTGCAACAATAATACAGAATACACTATAATATGATAAATGCATAATAAAAAACATTTGTAACAACATTTTATATTGTAATTATGCTTACATGCCGCGCCCCCGCCCACAGCTGCCCCGCCAGCACTGCTGCCCCGCCATGTAGAGCAGGCCCTGCGGCTCCCAAAGCACCAGCTGCACCGGCTCCGGCCCTGGGGGGCAGCCCGCCATCGACACAGCCCGCCCGCAGCCGCCCCGCCAGCACCACCGCCCACCCTGCACAGCTCTGTGTAGAGCAGGCCCCACGGGGGCAGCTGGCCACCACCGCCCCTCACACCCCCGCCCGCAGCAGCCCCGCCACCCCTGCCTCTTGCGCCCGCAGCCATTATTGCCCTTGCAGGGCTGAAGATCAAGAGAAAGTTACCGTGGCATCACCGCTCCAGTCTCCTCCAGGTAGGAGATGGTGTAGTTGGGTAGCAGGGAGGGATGCAAAGTTCCTGCCAATTCGCCTTCACTGCAGACAACTTACATGTGCAAAGTTTGCTGGCCGGGTGTTTTAGCGCGCTCAGCAGCAATTCCTATTGGCTTTCGAAAGCCAATAGGGGGAGTAGCATAGTTCATGCAAAAGTTGAAAAAAAACCATCAAAAAAAGGTGCCGGAACGCCGTTCTAAGCGTTCTATGAGAAAAAAAAGCCTTGCAGATTAGTCTTCAAATATTGAAAAGGAGGACATGTAGGAGGATACTTTTCAAGGGACGACAGAACTCACAAAAGGAGGACTGTCCTCCCTAAAGGAGGACGGTTGGTCACCTTTGCTATACCTTTTCCCAGGACTGTGTATTTGCCCTTGGCAACTACCATATTGTGTGATTCCAGAACATTCTAATCACTTCATCTGGTAAATTTGCTAGTAAAAAGCCTTCTTGAAAGACCCAAGACAGCATGATCATTTGAATTCCCTTCTTGCTGTATTATTTTTATTATTACCTCCTGTGTCAGTGTAATTTTTCTCTATTTGAAAAAGTGTCAATGAGTGTATAATCTCAAAAAACATTTATACAGACTTCGGAAGTAACCAAATATTATATGAAATAATATGGAAAGACAAAGTCACTTGTAAAGTAGAAGATTTTGGCAATGGTAGCCTTTTCATGTTTCATAAATTAATATAAACACATTAATATAATGACAATACATTCTTTGCTGGCTCACCATTATCTTAATATCTGTAATACCCAGAATTGCTTGAGCAATTGATGCAGATGAATGGATGGATGAATGGATGGATAAATAAACATATGATCAGCTTTGCAAAGACAATGGCCCAGTGAAAGGAGTCAATGGATTTTTTTTGTTTCTTTGTGTGTGTCATCAGTGATAATATTTAGCAATTTTGATTTCTGTCAATCTGTTTTATTTTCAATTATCCCAAGCATCTAAGCATCTTGCCTTCATATTTTCTATCCTAAATATTTAAGTTTTAGCTTCATTTTTAATCCTCTTATGGACAGCCAGGGTTCTTTTTTTGTCATCTGTTATGGAATCATTTGTTTGTCAAGCTCTTGGTAGCCCACAAGAGTCTCCCTGAATTTTTAAAATAGTACATGCTAAAGAGAATAGGATAAATTCTCTTTCAGAAATTTCAGCAACTGGATAGCTTTCATTTTTAGAGCCCAATTAATTCATCAAGTAGTTAAGCTGGAGAGTTCTATTTTTTTACTAAGGGCCTGTATCAAGACTGTTCTTTTAACTGATGAGAAACATTTAAGTAATTAGGATATGAAAATACGCTCAGAGGACAAAGTATTTAACTATTTTTGTTTACTACAACAATTCAAAAGTGTATACTTTCTTCTTGCAATCTTTTGATCATCCAACTTTCACAGCCCAAAAGTACTACTGGGAAAATGTAGCCTTCATCATATGTATCATTGTTGCCAGAGTGATATCTCTCCCATGTATTTTATTTACATTTGTTGTACCCTTTCTCTTGAGGAGCATACACCTGTGTATTTAATGGTTACAGTTACTACCCCTGTGATTTATTTCCAGCTTCTTATTCAGCTACTGAATTAATTTGAATGGAAGCCTTCCCTGTGGGTACAGCTACAAATTCTGGGAAAATATCTGGACAATTACTAGGCTTTACTGTCATCTCAGCATTTTGACAGCCCAAATATGGTACCTCTAATGTCAGAAAACTAGTGCAAGTGCCAGTTTTGTGCCTTCTCCCCAGCATTGTTCTAGTAACACAATCAAAACACAACAGTCCCATAAATAGCAATAGCACTTAGACTTATATACCGCTTCACAGTGCTTTACAGCCTCTCTAAGCGGTTTACAGAGTCAGCATATTACCCCCAACAATCTGAATCCTCATAGGCATCACTGAAATGGCAGGAGACATAACAGTTTTTGCCTGTTGAAATACAGGTAGTGCTCATTTAGTGGCCGTAGGAAGTTACAATGGCATTGAAAAAGTGACTTATGTCCATTTTTCACACTTATGACCATTGCAGAATACCCATAGTCATATGACCAAAATTCAGATGCTTGGCAACTGACTCATAATATTTATGACGGTTGCAGTGTCCCAGGGTCATGTGATCACCTTTTGCAACCTGATAAGCAAAGTCAATGAAGAAGCTAGATTCACTTAACAACCCACATTACTAACTTAACAACTGCAGTGAGTCACTTAACAACTGGCAAGAAAGGTCATAAAATGGGGCAAAACTCACTTTAAGACTGTCTTGCTTAGCAACAAATTTTGGGCTCAATTGTAGTCGTAACTCGTGGACCAGCTGTACGCCACTTATTACTTTTTCCAACTGCATATTCATTTGTACAGTATTATGGACTGCATGTAGAAAATCCAAACTGACATTTTAAGGCAAAAACTCGAGACATTTGCGCTACATCATGGACCACAACAACAATTGCAACCGCCATCTTATTCCAGCCATTGCACCGTACTTGACATCAAGGTGCAATTTAACGTAGTGGAGTTGCAACCAGGCAACTAAAACGGACGCGTGCAATCTCGGCTTGCATGCACCCCATGTCAACTATTCCCACAGAGCCGGTTTTCCGTCCGATCACGGCTCCCTTTTCTGGAGGGATAACAATATAAGGTGGGAAGCGAGAGAGGTTCGCAAAGGAAAAAATCTTAATTTTCCTTCTCTTACCCGAATTGGCGGCTCCTGTCACCATGACAACCGCCTCCGGCACTCGCTTCCGCCAACGTCAAAGCTGACCTCGGAAGTGTTCGCGCTCTGCGTGCTCTTTGACGGGAAGTGCGTGAGTTTGTTTTCCTTCGCGTGCTCGCCGGTGGGGATATTCCCGGCTTCTTCACGTCTCCCGTGAATTGTGATCGCGAGAGTCTGTTCTGAACGAGGGAAGGCCTCAACATGTCGGACAACGAGGATAAGTAAGCGCGTGAATAAGAAATCAATCTTTAACCTTTTGCCCAAATGTTGGCGTCTCCGGGATGTTGGGCTAGTTCTCATTTTCCAAAGCCGATCCAGGGTGGAAGGAAGGGGTTGCTTAGCCCAGTGTTTCTCAACCTTGACAATTTTAAGGCATGTGGACTTCAACTCCCAGAATTCCACAGCCAGCGTCGCTGGCTGTGGAATTCTGGGAGTTGAAGTCCACATGCCTTAAAATTGTCAAGGTTGAGAAACACTGGCTTAGCCAGTCCACCTGCAATTGGGAAAACAGCCTCCTGGAACTGCTTTAAACCGAGCTGTGAGACGCTGCCCTGGATTCAACTTCAGTTCGTGATTTAAAGAAGAATGTTAATTTTCAGCTATTGTTTCCCCCCTATATTGCTATGATTAATATTAACACTGTTTTTATTATTAAAATGTATATTCCACTTTCACGGTTGAACCAGTCCCAAAGTGATAGCTTACCCATGCACGGATTTTGGAGTAATTACATAATAATGAGCTGAGCCCGTGGTTATGGAGAAATTTGAATCCAAGTAGTAGCCTTACTCAGATAATTGTACTAAAACATTTTTAACTGGCAAGGCATATTCTTTCTCTGCTCATCACTGAAACTGGAGAGTAATTACAGTCTCTCCCACCCATATATAAATTTGGATCTGATTAAAGCTCCATTTAGCATGCTTTATTCTGAGAAGCTAAATGACCCACACTTTCAGTATGCCCTTTAGATGTGGCTGTTGAAATACAGTTAAAGTCAAGAATCCTTTGTTTTATAATTTTGTCTTCTTTATCACCTGTCAGTGAAGAATTGGGATACACCTAGTCAAATCAGACTTTTAAATGTATTAATATGTATATTTTAATTAACTTTATACTTTTGCTCAAACTTCATCCTGAGCTGTTGGAAGGAATTTGAGAATAGAATGCATTCTCTACATCTTCTGTGTTAAATCAAATCAGACTTTTAAATGTATTAATATGTATATTTTAATTAACTTTATACTTTTGCTCAAACTTCATCCTGAGCTGTTGGAAGGAATTTGAGAATAGAATGCATTCTCTACATCATCTATGTTAAATAACAACAGCCATGCACATAGGTCATTTATTCCTGTATTATTTGGCTCTAAATTTCTTAGAACTTACGAAGGAATCAGTAGGTTATAGTGGTCTCTGAAATTACAAATTTGGAAAGCCTAATAACTAGCTGTTGCTTATCACCATTACAGAGTACATTCAGGGAACAGAATTGCTGTAGTTTCCAAGTTCATGCCTGTTGATTTAATGACTTTTAAAAGATCAAGAATGTTTCGTTTTTCTGGCTTGTGTCACAGAATTTGAAAGAAACTCATTTTCTCCAGCCTAAAGACAGAATTGTTCCCTTTTTGACTTCTCTGTGATCCATTCACAGCCTGATTTATAAACCTGGGATTTCCTAGTGATTTTCCTTCCACATATAAATCAAGTCCAATCTTGCATTGTTTTGGTCAAAATAGCTAATTGACATCAGCTGTGACATTTAGCTTGTAATACTTATAGTGAATACTTTAGGGATGAAGGGTTTTGCTAGAGAATTATCCATAAGTTATTAATACATTTCTCCTGTTAGTTTTGATGGAGATGATTTTGATGATGTGGAAGAAGATGAAGGACTTGATGATCTAGAAAATGTTGAGGAGGTAAGTGACTTCAGTTTTTGATATTCTAAAACAGCCTTCAATCTGGTGAATGATTTGAAATAGGAAGATATACATTTTATGAGTGAAATAGCTTCTAGATGTATTAGACTTCTTCTGTCATTCTTAATCAGCAAAATGAATACTTTTGGAAGATTACATTTATGTATGTTATTAGGGTATAAATGAATATAGAAGTGATTTGAGGGAATTTATGAAAGGACTACTTAAAAGGAGAAAGAAGGAGCAAACTGTTAAAGAGGGACTTTGAGAAAAGGTTATACAGTCCTTACAGGAAAGCATGAAAAACAAACTCAAAATAACCTTACCATGATTTTGTTTAGTATAAGATGGGACAGAAAGAAACTTGGACAGGTTTTCAAAAATTATGTCAGTCCTTTGAGGTAGGCCAGAAACTGGCAGGGATTCCAGGAATACTCTTTATCATAGTAAGGCAGAATAATAGAATCTTGAAAGTTCTGGTCATTTGTATCCCTCTTATCTCTCTCAAAGTCTGTTCTACATTTTTTTTACCCAAGGCATATATTTTGTTTCTTTGACTAGAAACTAAGGACAATGGGAATAGAATACAAATTTATAGTGGTAACTTAGATCTGTAAAGTCCCAATGCTTAAGTGGTATAAAATGTGAACTTTAGAAAATGGGTTAGAAAATATATGAATTCATAGGTTAATGCCTGTTTTCAAAGAAAAAACTTACCATCATGTATTAGACCTTTTACCTAATAGCATTCTTGTTGTAGAACCTTACTTAACATTTTCCATTCATATTCTCCATTGGTTTCAATTTGATGACTGCTCAGATGACAAGGCATACAGCTGTGTGTGTTTACATTTGCTTTGCATTATTCCATAGGAGGGTCAGGAAAATGTGGAAATCTTGCCATCTGGAGAGCGACAACAGGCAAATCAGAAGCGGATCACTACTCCTTACATGACCAAATATGAGCGGGCCAGAGTTCTTGGTACCCGTGCCCTCCAGATAGCGTAAATATATATTTATTTACTTACTCACCTTTTATATTAATGATTGTCTGAAGGCTTTTCCAGATTTCAGCTGTTTGCCTCCAATGCATAATGAAATTTCTTTGCAGATTTCCACCCTTTCTTCTACTTTGCCATAGTTATGGCTTGGTATTCTATCTAGATCTCAAGACAGCCCCCGATTGGTCGATTCCTCTGCTTCTTTTCCTTCCCACCCATCCTAGAAAAAAAGGCAATCATTGCTTTCCCTTCATTGGGCATGTGTTTGAGGACTAGTGACACACATCAGCGAATTGTAATGGAAATATTTCTGTAAAATGGAATGAAGCAGCGCAGGTAGACAGGATTGCCCTGCTTGCACCATCATTCAGCACAAAAAACACAGATGTCAGTTACCTTACCAGCAGGTAAAGATGACACTAAGATGGCATCATACATTTCTACCTTCATGAAACAGTGAGCGCCCTGTCCTCTTGCTGGGTTAAACTGGAAGTGTGGAACTAGCTTAAGTCTTTCAGTGTATCATAAAAACATTTTAAAAGTTATTAAAGTAGAAAATTAAAACTATGAATACAAATCTTTTCAGAAAGATGTCTTTAAAGCAAAAAGATCAGTTTCAATAATTGAACAGGAAGTGGCTTTCAGAGACCCAGTAGCAAAGTAAGCTCATCCTACACATTCTTGCATGCATCTGCAAGTGAGGATGCAATGGATATATACTTTGGATTAGAGAGGAGTAAAGTCTCTTTTTTTAAAATAAAACATTTTCCCTTTATTAAATTAGTCGTTGATACCAGTTGCTCTATCAGAGAACTATTTTGCCCAACTGGCTTGGGCAAAATCTGGGCCTATAACAACTTCCAGCAGCTGAGGCTATATTTCAGAAAGGCTCTTTGGCAGAACGTGTATTTAAATTATTAGTGAGGTATCATTAAAAATAGGTCATTTATTTTAAATGTTACTACGTACATGGCTTTCAGAGTTCATACAGGGAAACATATGAATAATGGGAGGGGAAGGCTGCTAGCAGAATATTCCTATGCTGCATTCAAGAATTGGGCAGTAAGAGTGGTACAAATGAGCTTTAGGATGAGCACCTGAAAATAGATCCATTAATAAGATTGTATTTTTGGGGTTACACAATATTTTTCAGATTAAATCTTTTCCCCATTCTGAAGGTGCTAAACAGGAAAATTTTACTCTTTTTTTTGGGTGGAAAACTAAATATTTAGAACAATTGGCCTCTAAAAGCAGATAGATCAGAGGTTCTCAACCTATGGGTCGCGACCCCATTTGGGGTCGATCGACCATTTCACGGGGGTCGCCAAGCAAGGCTGTCCGCCATTTTTTCCCCCTTTTCCGGTGGGTGCCTTACCTCCCTTGAGCTGGGCCACCTGGTGGTCGGCCTGCTCCGTCTCTGCCGCTTGCCAGCTACGCCTTGGCCGGCGCAGGGGGTGGAACCACGCATGCGCTGCGCTCCCGGGCAGGGAAAGTCCTCGACTTACGACCGGTTGGGTAGTCCTCGACTTACGACCGGTTTAGTCCTCGACTTACAACCAGTTTAGTCCTCGACGTACGACCGGTTTAGTCCTCGACTTACGACCGGTTGGGGTCGCGGCATTAAAAAGGTTGAGAACCACTGAGATAGATGTTTCATTATCCAATATGTTCCCAGTATTGCTCCAGGAAGGAATGTAGTGCTCTTGAGCTTCTATGAAGCATCTTACGAGAGGTTTAACAAGGCAAAACTTTACAGGTTGTCCTCGTTTATCAACTGCACATTCAGTGACCATTCAAAATTATGATGGCACTGAAAAATTAGGTTTATGACCAGTTCTTAAACTTACATCACAGGGTCCCTGCAGTCATGTGATTGCAGTTTGGGTGCTTGGCAACCAGTTTGCATTTATGATGGTCATCAACTTCTGGTCACGTGATTGTTATTTGTTCCCTTCGCAGCTGGCTTCCAATAAAATCAGAGAAACTGGCAGTAAGTTGCAAGCGGCAGTCATGTAACATCTCACTTAATGGCCATGGATGATTTGTTTAATGACTATAGCCAGAACTGATGTCATAACTCTGTATGGTCACATGAAGTTTTACTTTACAACTATGTCACTTAGTGATGGAGTTGCTGGTCCCAATTGTGATTAGTGAGGACTAGTAGCTGGTTATTTTTCTTCATTTCAGTAGAAATCGCATGGTAGACAGTTGCTTTGATAAGCCAATGGAGATTGGTTTGATAAGCCAATGGAGATTGGATTGTGATCCCAATAATGTCCATGTGTGAGAATTTAGCCTCTCCTACTTTTATTTTTGTGTTATATTCCATTTTATGCCCAAAATAGCAACCTCATTTCCCCCACTTCTATATGCAATTTAAAATTAATTTATAATTCATTTGAACATTTTATTATTGAAATATATCCAACAAATAGCAAAGAGCCAGTTTGTGGCTAAGGTACCAGGCTAGAAATTTGGAGATAATCAGTATTTGTCCCACCTTAGGCACAAAGACAGTCGGATAACCTTGGGTCAGCCACTTTCTCTTAGCTCTAGGAAGCAGGCAGTGGTAAATTACTTCTGAAAACCCTTGCCAAGAAAACTGCAGGGACTCTCCAGGGTTGCTAGAAGTCAAGACTTGATTAAAAGGTACAACACCTCCCCACCCCCAACTCTAAAATAAAAATATTTAAAATGTGAGACAGCAGAGATTATAGCATAGGTTTTCAAGAGTAAAAACTCCAGGCTACTTACAGGTTTGACAGGAAATCAAATGGTATATCTTATTCTCATCTAACTTGATAACTTTTAATATCCACTGTTTACTCCAGTTGCAATAAAAGTTCTTAAATCTTTTTTCCTCTCAGGATGTGTGCCCCAGTAATGGTAGAGCTTGAAGGAGAAAGAGATCCCTTGCTGATTGCAATGAAAGAACTGAAGTAAGTTGAGAAGTTTTATCCATGTGCAGGTGTGCGTAAACGGTTCCCTCTCTAATTAGATTTGGACATTCTACTTTAAGACAGGAGAGGCTGAATGGTGAACATTCCAGTTTCACTCTTCCTGTTCTTCCAGTTGTCTGTCAGATCAAGATAATTTTCTGCACTCTGGAATCTTGCCTACTTGCATGGTTCTACATACAGTTTAAAACCATGATTTTTAGGACATTGATGATGAGAGGAATCTCTGTAAACAGTAAATATTTATTGCTACAGATGTTTGTCCTACAATTTGTAAGTGTCAAAAAGGCAATTATTGGGAAGAGAGAGCTAGTTAATTTTATGCACATGTACAATATCTGAATACAATTTCTGTTGTCCAATAAGAGACTAACAGAGTGTTATATATACAGTGTTCCATTTTGTAGGTGCCTTTACTTTTCTAAGTAGAGGTAATACTATTGTTTTGCATAGGAATAAAATACTAGTTATAAAATAGTATTTTTATAATTATTTTTTGTCACATTTTCAGTACCATAATTTTCCCAGGTGCATTAATTAAAAGCTTTAAAATAGTTAATGATTTGGTTCCTGCCATCTCTGTTTTTTTCCACAGAAGTATAGTCACAGTAGATGATTCCCTTTTCTCAACACTGAAATGTTTCAGACTGTTATTTTGAAATTCAGGGTTTAAATAGATAATAATTTGGTTTCTCTTTTTTTATAAGTGCCATTGGCTAGAAAGCTATAATGTCAGATGTTATATAGAAACTAAAAAAAAAATGACAGTAAACTGTTCTGTTATAAGCACTTGATATACATGAGTTCCCATTATAGAAAGAAATACAAAAGCTACTTTTTTCTTTCTTCATATTTGGCTCACGTTGTGCACATAATGTAAGATTTGTACATTATTTAATGGAAAGGCATTTGTAAGCCCAAACATTAATGTAACTAAACTTGCTTTAATATTTACTTGAGCTATGCGAAGCTCTGACTAGTATAACCCCAATACAAAATCATAATGTGAGAATTTCCTTGAAAAATTCTATTCTGGTTATGGTTTCAGGACCATTCTGTTGAACTCCTATAGCTTTTTAAAAATATTTTTATTTTTTTACTTTTCACGTATTGCAATTATAAACCTAATGTCCTGGAGAAATTCCAAGGTCACTAATTACATTGTTGACTTAAAAAGTCTTATTTCTATTAAACTGGATTTAAATTTCTTTCCTTTAGGTTCCAAGTTACTCAGTTTGCCAAAGGTTTTTAATAGTTTATGTATTCCACTCAGAGCATTTTTTTGGTTTATGGCATTACACTATATGAACACTTTATATACAATTAAACAATGCGTATTAGAAAGGTCATTTGTGTGATCCCAATGTGGTCTTTCCACAGTGCAGTTGTATCCCTGTCTCTTAGGAAAGTTCCATGGAAAATTGAGATTCAGAAGTCCTACATTCAGATTATTTCCTGCTTAATTTCAAGAAGTAGGAAGGAACAGTCAATGATTTTCTGTGGGTGAATTTTTAGATTTGGTTTTGAAGGTTTTCAAATGTTTTATTACACTATTGGAGTTCTACTGAATACCAACGATTTAGTGTCCTTGACTATGAATGTCTCTTTCCCTCCTCCAGAGCTCGGAAGATTCCTATAATTATCCGCAGGTACCTGCCGGATGGAAGTTATGAAGACTGGGGTGTAGATGAACTAATTATCACAGATTAAATGTCTTCTGTGCTCCAACTCGAACTTTTATGGAATGCACATATGGATATATATTATATATTGTGTAAATAAATACCAAAATCCCCCTATAAATGTCTTGGATGTTTCCCTTTTACACAAAATAATGCTAAAGAAAACCAGTGGTCTGCCTTCCTTCCTTCCTTCCTTCCTTCCTTCCTTCCTTCCTTCCTTCCTTCCTTCCTCCCTCCCTCCCTCCCTCCCTCCCTCCCTTCTCTCTCTCTCTCTCTCTCTCTCTTTCTTTCTTTCTTTCTTTCTTTCTTTCTTTCTTTCTTTCTTTCTTTCTTTCTTTACAGTTCAGTCTTCCATTATCTTGAAGACCCAGTAGGTTTAGTTCTGTTGTTTTTGCAGAGCCAAGCGAGGTACCTGCTACCTTTCAAATGCTATAAATGCAAAGGTGGCACAGGAGAAGCTTCCTCAGTGTTGTATCTAATCATCACGTTATACACAAATGATTTTAAAGTGATCCTGCAGCTGCCAAACTTCCAGATGTCCTTTAAGACAACTGAAAGACCCCTTTGCCTTCAACCTACGCTTTTTTCCAGGGGTCTGTAGTAGAGGAGGCATTTCTGTTGCTTGCTACCAAACAGACATGCCTTTGTGCCCGGGAACAAGTTGCCTTGGAAACCCCCAATTTCCCCTCTGATCAAGGCTGGCTCTCTGGGCTTCTCAGGAGTATCACAGAGCAACTCTCATCAAATCTTCCATTGTTCCTTTTCCTGCCCTGACTTCTTATCAATCAACAGGATCCCCTTACAGTGGGCTGTTTTACAGCAAAAAGCATAGTTGCCTTGATGAGCTATCTAGAGAGAGTCAGCTTGACATCTGTAATCTATGCTTTATGGTACCTATGTATCAGTACATTTCTTTCCCACCCTATCTGGCATAGCCTTACTGTAAGTGCATGTTCATATTATGAAGAATTACACGATTCCTAAAATGTCAGGAAAATAAGTTTTAAATTTACATAAATAAGCAAACTCTATTGCAAAATAAACCTCCAAATCCATTGTGTCACTCAAATGGTAAAAGAGAATATTTTAAAAGTACTTTTGCAATGAAAATTTGTTATGCTTCTCAAGAAGACTTTGCTTTCTGCAATGAACTTATTTTTTGAAGCTTTATACAATAAATGTATTGTCACCATTGTTTTTTAAAAAAGAAATCAGTAAAGATTTTTTAACATAATCTACAAAGGCTTTGTAAACACCATTCCTATAAGTCAGGGGTCCCCAACCCCCAGTCCGTGGCCTGATGGAAACTGAGCTGTGCAAGCGGCGGGCAAGCACACAAAGCTCCATTTTGTATAAGCGGCTGGGGTGCGTGCAAAACCATCCCCTCCTCGTTGCAGCTGTTGCTGGTCCATAGACAGAAAGGTTGGGGACCACTGCTATAAGTTATGTAATGCATGTTATCCATAACGGTTTGCTTAAGATCCAGATTAGCCTGCTTTTGGCTCTTGATGCATAATTTCTTAAAATGTAATTTATTTTAATGCAAGTTCTTTTTAAAAATATAACTACTGCTTTTTGTATGCAACATTCCTGTGTCTTTGTTTCAGGTGTGGAGTTTTGGGAGAAAAACTAATGCTAATTAGACTCTGAAGAAACATTCCCGCTGGAATATCCAGATTTGCTCCCAATGTAAACTGTGGCAAAATGATTTTATAATTCTACTTTAGAAGGGTACATCAGACTTGCCCCAGATCTGAGCTGGTTTTTCCAGTGAGCTTGTGGAATTAGGGCAAAGGCTACAGACAATCCTAGGACTTCAGCTTACCTATTCTTGTCCCCCTGTCGCCATTTTATATATACGCTAACACTGATATATATGCAAATGAAATTTATATTTGGAAATAATGATTTTTTTTAAAAAAGGAGTAGTTTCAGAAATAATGTGAAATGGAAGTTAACAGAATACAACAACTGTCAACCGACAAAGGCACTGAAACCACAAGGAATCTGTCATGTTTGCTGACAGCAACTATGCCAATAATAGGTTAATCTGCAGAGTTATAACTTACAAATCTCCTTGGCTTCCCCACTCCCTCTGGCGTTTAATCACGTTTGTGTGATGAAATTTCAGTAATGAAATGTGTCTTTGTGTGATCGTTTTGGCATCCACAATGGAGCGCAGGAGTTGTTCTCCTGGTCCTCTTTTTCAAAAAAAAAAAAAAAAAAAAGCTTCTTTGTTTTAATACTCTCCCCCATCCCCCTTCCCCAACCCTTGCATCTAAATCAGATACAATTAAAAGGATAGCAAAGGCTCTAGGCCAGCTCCCACCAGACTGGTAGGGGAATGTGCAGTCCCTTTGTGCCAGCGTGGAAGCTGGTAAATGCTGGATCCTACTTTCTTAAGACAGAAACATGGCACTTTGGCATTAACTTATTGCAATTTATTGGCTAAGAAAGCAAATCACCTCTTAATCAGCTTTCCTTCTGAGGATGCACATAGAGAGCTCTTGAAGTAAGCTGGAACGATCCCTTTTGTTCCTTGCGTGTGGTTCCTTTAGCTGTGGCAATCTCCCTATTGGCAATAGGTCATGTATTTCCGGTCTTAACTGTGCTTCCCTAGAGCTATTACAAAAGTTCTTTCGGCTGTCCCTCCCAACTTTGCCGAAGAGTTTTCCCATTAGCCTTTTCCTTATTTTCAATGAGCTTCCTCCAAATAGGGCATCCTCCGGTTGTGTGAACTCCAACTTGGAATTTTCAAAAAAGGCTATGCCAGCTGACCAATTTGGGATATTGGTACACATCTACATTGGGGAGGACATAGAAAGCCCCACATCTTTGCCTTTGCTTGAATATCCCAAAGGCAACTGTTTTAAATTGCAGCATTGCATCCATAACCCAGAACTCTGGTAGGTTTTCTTTTTTTCCCAAAGGGAAATTTGTAGAACGAGACAGGGCCTTTTGAGTGGTGGTACCCTCTCTTTGAACTACTCCCATGATTTTCAACTTGTGCAAATGCTGGTATTTTTCTTTCGTGTATAAACTTACTATTTGCACAGATGTTTCAATACTTTAAAATGGAGTCAAACATTCGTGCTTTGATATTTTTTTACTGTTGTTTCATTACTTCACTATATTGGATTAGTAGCTTTTTTTTACTCTGTTTTTGCCTTTTCTGTATACCTGAGTTTCTCATCCTCAGCCGCTTTAAGATGTATGGAGTTCAATCCCAGAATTCTCCCAGCCAGCATGGGTATAGAATAGAATAGAGCTGGAAGGGACCTTGGAGGTCTTCTAGTCCAGCCCCCTGCTCAAGCAGGAGAACCAAGTATCATTCTTTATAATTTAGATAATTATTTAAACATGCTTTTATGCTTAAATAATTATCTACCATCAAAAGGTTTTGCAAGAATAAAACTTTGCAAAGGAAGCTTCACCCTTTTCTGCGAGTCAGTTCTCTTTTATTGGATATCAAAATGTCCATATAGATGTCCAGAATCTGGGACACAGAATAATGAGTTTAAGATATAGGAAGACAGATGCCTTCTCTATCAACAATGAAACATGCTATCTAGAACGATGGACTGCTTTTCACAATATATTCAAATTAGGACTGGAAACCATCTGACTAGGATGCTTTAATTTGGATTCCTTCACAGGAGGTTGGACTTAGAGGGCCCACACACCCTCTTCCAATTCTGATTCTATGCTTCTAGTTTTTAGGATTTGTAGTAAGAGGGGTGAAGAAAGAAGCTATGGCTCTTCTGATCTAAAATGAAGTATGTCTTAAGTTAATCCATTGGTCAGCTGAAGAAATATATTTGTATCGATCTTATCACTTTCCTATTAATCTCTTCTTGTTACTGTCCTTTACCTGGGAAAGTTCAACTCAGATTGCTTAGGGATCACTGAATCATCTGGTTAAATAATTCCTAGTGCCATGGTAAACATGGCACAAGTTGCCAATTGTTGGGAATTTAAAGCATTTGGCCAGACATTTAAACAGAAGCCTAGAGCCAAAGATTTCCATCAGAGTCAAAGGAGATAATGTCAGGCCAAATGCACAACCCGCCCACCATTGCATTTTTCATGTGCCCCCACACAGAATAAATCAAAAGGTACTCTGGTATGCAAAATATGGCAATTTCTGAATTGTAAGTATCATCTTGGCTATATATATATATATATAAGTGGGAATTTGCTCCTCCTGATTGTTAAGTACCTACCTGAGAAATCAGGAAGGATCAGTTGGTTTCAGGGGTAGAGGGGAAGCTTGAAAGTCCATTTGTGAAATTCCCAAAATTACAGTTATCCTTGGAAATTAAAGATGTTACCTCATATTCAAAGGCAGCTGACTTTAGAATAGCAAATGTAATAAAAGAGCTAGAAAAGATGACTAGGTGCGTGTGAACATCCCAATTGGCTTTAACAGACAACCATGGAACTGGAAAAGTACAATAAAAAGTGTGCTTGGAAGGTTTAACTGCAAAGACCAACGATTGTCATCTGGTCCATTGCTGGGTGAAAAAAGTGAAAATTGTAGTTCTGATTAGGTGTGAAAAGACAGATTGGTCTGTTAACAATGCACAGGGAGAAATCTATGGCTAATAAGGTGATGTGTAGTATACTAGGATTTTTTTTCTCTCTCTTCTCAGCCAATTTTGGAGGGATATGAGGCAGAGCATAGACCAAAATAGGAAACACACATTGACATACATAGCTAAAACATTTTAAGTTTATTACTCCATACATTTGATGCAAAGTTAATGATGCTAGGACAACTTAAGTTTGTAGCATTGGGGACAGGAAAAGATGTGCTACTTGCATAAATAAGGGTGCATAGCAGTTAATAGATTATAAAGGATACAGCCATACTACGTGTTCTTTTCAAATACCATAGAGAAAATATAATTATCCATAGCTGAACATGGAAGTAAGCATATATAAGTTCATAACGCAGGGCAGGCACGCCTCAGCTGTCTCAGTCTAAAGGTGTTGGGAAGAACAAAATGTAACCGTAACATACAATACTATATAACCCACTGTTTCTCAACCTTGGCAACTTGAAGATGTTGGCTGGAGAATTCTGGGAATTAAAGTCCATGCATCTTCAAGTTGTCAAGATTGAGAAACACTGCTACAGCCAGTGTTTTCTCATGGACTTGCATAGCATCTGTTGTTTCTAGGGCATTGAAGTTTTCATGCTTTTACGTTGCAGCCAACAGGCATGGTAACACACTCCTCAGTTCATAGCAGATGTTGATGAATGATTGAAAGGTAGCAAATGATCAGCTAATATTTTTACTATCTTTTTACCATTCCTGGGTACCATTTGAACAATCTGCCTCAGGAACCCAAACATCTTGAGATGTTTCATGAAATGATAAGATTACATTAGTTAATGCTATGGCAATTTTGATCTCTAATGAAGCATGTAGGAAAAACCATACTGACTTGCTCTCTTTCCTCAGTTTCCCTACACCCACAATATACACACTCGTACATGGAAAACCCATTCATAAGCATGCCAGAAGAAAAAACATTGGCTTTGGCAGGATATCTTTTTGACTATTAGAAGGGTAGCTGGGAGAGTTAGAAGGCAACCATGAAGAAGTGAGAACAGACTAGGAATACAAAATGTTCATTACCAAGAAGGAAAATTCAGTCTACTTTGCCATTTATGGTCCAGGGACCAGCAGGTGTGCACACATGAATGCACTTACATGCAAAGGTGGCCAGATCATGTAATTCAGTTCCTGAGTCCAATGTACTGTGTAGTTAAGTCTTAAGAGAGCCAGGCAGCAGAGAGGCGATGGAATAGATAGGCGGAAACAGAGATGCCAAGTACAACAGGAAAAGCAAGCACAAGGTGATCTTCCAATGGAGAATTAAATTTCATGCATGTGCAACTCTGAAGCACAAACGTCCTAGAGCTCTGTCCACAACAGCTGCATTACTGCATTTCTTCTGTAACATATCCACCACAGCGTGCCCAGCTCTAGCCATAATTTACCCATACATCGTGGCAAAGTTATGGTTATTGGTTTCTTTCTTAAAATATCAGACTGATAGTTTGGACAGTTGAGGATGGGGGAAGAGAAGGGAGAATTATCTCTCAATTTTATTCTTCTTGTAATTACTTTAAACTCTCAATCTGCCTTACAAAAACCAACCATGACTTGTTGCTCCATGCCTAGAATCACCCTCCTTTAGAAGGCCTATGGGATCTTGAAAGCCACTCAGGGACTGGGAGTAGGGGGGGTGGTTGGGAACCTTCCTCCAGCCAGGTGAGCCATCGATAACTGTGGTCATGATAGACATCCCCGGATATTCTGTGGATTCTGGCGAATGGATGACACCAAAAGACCTTGGAACTTGGAGGCTCATCTTCTGGGGCTGATTCTTTGGAGCCTTTCCGCTGCTGCTTTGGTCACTGCTCCCCATTCCCTAGGGTCTTGAGAGGGTTGTATACACAGGCTGTTCCCAGTGTGTGGGACTGTGGGACTGTGGCACTGAAGGGGCTGGGTCAGAGATGGCAGTGTACAGAGGACGCTGAGAGGGCCCCATATATGAGAAGGCTGAGTAGAGACCAGAAGCCTGACTAGAGTGGCTGTAGTAGGGTCCTGAAGGTTGGTGATCAGGATAATCAAACTGGGGCCTGGATATAGAGGGAAAAGCTGAGCCATAATGGGGCAGACCGAGTGATGTGTAAGCTAACTGGGAAGTGGAGGGTTGGTCAGTATAATGACCCCCTGGAGTAGAGCCCTCTGTTTTTACTTGTGTCTTCGAATCTACCACTGAGGATGTGGCAGCAGACAAAGAGACTCCATGCTGCTTGGAGATCCAGGCAGAGTGTCCACTGGCTGCAGCCAGGGCACTACCAAGGCCATAACCAGCAGCTGTGGCATAACCCCCCACATGGCCTGGGTGAGCAGCGTGTCCATTTGGTGGAAGATATTGATCAAACTCGTTGACATCAAAGGGCTCCATATTGGACATCACTTCGTGGCTGATCTCCCCGATATCCACATTGCCAAAGTCGATGTGAGGCTTTCCTCCTTCCCCAAGGGAACGCCCATCCCGTTTGGAGTCAGCCTTACCCGTCTGGAGCTCCGTCTTCGGTGTAGTTGGTGGAGTGGGAGGTCCATGGCTCTGACCTGTAAGGTTGATATCACAAAAGAAGGAAGAGAGATAGTGTGTAAACTTTTTACTTTATACAAATCTGACTTTATGTTTGAATTGGATCCTTTCCAGGTTACTAGAGTTTGCCTCTATGAACATGAACCGTAATAAACTAATATCTTAGTTAATTTTTTTACCTTCATTACATAGACTACTTAGTCATTTATTTGTTTGTTTTATTTCATTTAGGCACTGCCTGACTTGGGCTGGCTTCACAAGAGATTCCAGTGAAAAGACAAAAAATAATAAAATAAAATAAGTTGGTAATCCGTAAAATTGCAAGATGTAACACATTCCATGGGCTGTGGCAATTGTGATACTCTTGTTATGATACTCATCTATACCACTTCAATTAAATGTTCACCTTTGTCAGAAAAATAAATGGTGGTTTTCATGATTCTGCTCTACAGTTGCTGATTTACGATACAACTGGAATTCAGATTGCTGTGGATCTGACTGCTGGCTAAATTTATAAACTAACCTGAAGAATGTTCAGGGTGCCCATCAGACAAGGGAGATCCTTCTCCAGGATGCCTATGGTCCAAATGGGCATTCTTATAGTGGGCTTGAATAGCTGCAGCTCCACCAGCTTCCCCATCAGCCTGGCCATCATTTTCTCCCTGGGCAGCCTTGCCGTTTTTCCGACGCCGTGGTTGGTACTTATAATCAGGGTGGTCCTTCTTGTGCTGCATCCGTAGCCGCTCTGCTTCTTCAATGAAAGGCCGTTTGTCACTTTCATTCAATAATCTTAAAAAGATGGGGAGATAAGAGAACAGGACGAAATGTAAGCAACCAATTTTAAAAGGGGAATTCTAAATAATCAGGATCATATCAATTGATAATACAAACCATTAATGATTATCAGACACAGCGTTACAGATGGAAAAGAAGATCAGCAAAGGAGAGATGTTGAAAGCTGTTCTACCATGACTCTGGAAGGAGATTGACCAGAAATTTTGCAATGGAATAGTGAGAACTTTAAGACAATCGATGATGCTACCAGAAACACCAGCGGCCATTTTCTTTTAAACTCAGCAAGAATTCTACACTCAGCTAGTCAAGGACCTATCTTATATCATGAACAGATTTCAATTTAACACATCAGCAAAGGTTTTTTTTGCCATAATCATGCTTTTATGTAAAATTCACTGGCATGAGCAAATGTAAACAGTTATGTATTTTATTCAGCCGATAACCAGTCTGGTGTAGTGGCTACAAGCTCTGGGCTAGAAACCAAGAGTTCTAATCCTGTTTTTGGGCATAAAGCCAACTAGGTGACCTTGGGCAGCTCCTCCTCTCCTCTCTCTCAGCCATAAGAAGCAGGCAACGGCAAACCACTTCCGAAAATCTTGCCAAGAAAACTGCAGGGACTTGCCCAGACAATTGCCAGGAGTCAGGACTGACCTGAAGGCACACAGACACAAAAAGCACATCTGGTACATGTTTTTCTACTGACCTACCAAGGCTTGTAATGCGTGAAATTTTTATTTAGGAGAATTGGTTAAATGTTTGTAATCAGTTTCACTGAAATGGAACAGAAAGATGTTCCTCAAAGATTGTATAAGTGGGAAAATGTTTACATCATTCACTTATAAAAATTATAGTCTTTCTGCAATAAGATCGATTTCCATTTATATACAATCTTTTTCAATTTATTCACAGAACAAACTCCCAGGATTAAGTGAAACTGTAGGAGATTGGTACACTCTGGTGTTTCTTTCCATGGGTCAAGGTACATCGCATGTTGAATATTTTGATCTCCAGATGCCATCTTCAAAAAATTCTCACAGATACTATGTAAATGGAGTATTGTGTTGTTCTAAAATGTCATTTATAATAATGAAGAGCATCCCTTCCCCTTAAAAATCCCATACAGATGCAGGAGAATGTTTTACTTTTGATAAACAAGGGGAAAAGAAAGATAAACTTCTGCTATCCAGCCCAAATCTACACTGGGTTATTGCAAGCTTTTTGTAAAGAAGAGAAACTACCTCCTTAACACATTGTGGACTTTGCCTCTTAATGGGGATTGCTGTTCAGACCAGTTTGAGCCCAACATTAACCATGAGACCAATCAGACTCTTATTTCATTGCCTCATCTAATCAAGAATTTTTCAATCTCTTAACATAATCCCTAAGTGGCTTGTGTTCTCATTTGAGACAATATTTCCTGCTAAATCGCTGCAAGCGGGCAGAGTTGTGAAATTAAGTAGCATTTTGGAGTCCTGAACAGAAAACCTATTATCTGGAGTTTCAAAATCTCAACATTTGTCTATCTGCTTAGATGATCATTGTTTCCGGGGGGGGGGCAAGGGGGAATATAGGGCAGGTATATCACAGGAAGGGGAAGTATAAGGCAGGTATATCACAGGAAGGAGAAATATAAGGCAGGTATCACTTCAACATATCACTTTGTTCTCCGTCTTTCAGCATCTACCACCTGAGGCAGTCAATTGACTATTTAATAGCAATAGCATTTACATTTATATACTGCTCCTAGTGCTTTATAGCCCTCTCTAAGCAGTTTACAAAGTCAGCATATTGCCCCCAACAATTTACCAATCTTGGAAGAATGGAAGATTGAATCAACCATGAGCCAGTCAGGATCGAATTCCTGGCTGTGGGCAGAGTTAGCTTGCAGTACTGCATTCTAACCACTGACCACTACGACTATTTAATGGTACCGTAAAGCCTATCCCAGAATGAAGGCTATGTAAGGCTTGCTATACTATATATATAATATTCAGATTACAGATTGTCTTCCCAGTGCCCAAGGAATGTTATTATTTGCCTTAAATTTTAACAAAACAAATCTCAGATTTTTGGGATCTCTCAATAAAAATGAACTCTTTTCTCCCTTTCTCTGTCTTATCCAGTGAGGGGAAACCTCTGCTTGATAGACAAAGAACAGACAGAATGAATCTTTTTATTCCTCAAATAACCTATGAAAAATTACTGTGGCTATTTCTTATTTAGCAATCAGTGGATTTTGCTTTCATCAATAAGAAGCTAAATACTCTATTTGTTTATGTAAATATAAACCCGTTCATGGCATAGGGTTAGATTTTGAGGGACCACTGCTTCCTGATATGTCTATAGGCCCAGCATGATATGGATCCCATTTATTAGAAACTGTCATCTAGTGGAACCCAGAAAGAAAGCTTGTTGTGATGCCCACTCTTTGGAACATCATTAAATTAGCCATAACCTTGTTAACCTTTTGGATGGTTTTGAAGAATATGCTACTAGGCATGGAATCAAAATGAGAGCCAATGGGATACCTGCATTGATGGTTATGATGGTTTTTACCTTGGCTGCCAATCTTTAGTATGCTATTATTGTTGCTTTATGTTTTTAATTGCTGTTCGCTGCCCAAGGTCATGAGATTAAGATGGGCAGTTCTATAAGTTAAGAGAGAGAGAGAGAGAGAGAGAGAGAGAGAGAGATATTAAACCACAAATATTCTGAGCTTCAATTCATATTATTATTTAATATTATTCTCTTATTCACATGCTCTGTCTTTGCATGAATCTTGAATAAATTCAGTGCTTTGTTTTTGTGTGTGGAATGGTTCTTCATGAAGTTTTGGCACATATCAGCACACTGAAAGCATCTGTATGTCAAGGATAGCCAGTACATCTAGAAACCCCACTTTTTGCAGCCTTGGAACCAGTGGTGGGATTCAGCCAGTTCGCACCACTTCGGCAGAACCGGTAGCTAATTCTTTGTGGCCCAGGCCCAGAATGGACTTCCAGAAGCGGCATCCACACAGAGAACCGGTTGTTCCCATATTTGAATCCCATCACTGCTTGGAACCCTTCAGGGGAACCCCTTTCCCTGAAGTCTGGAAGTGCTGAGAATCTTCCAGCATAGTGGGGGGAAAAACAAACCCTCAAAATGGTTTTACACATTTGTATTTTAAAACCAACTAACTGAGTTGCTTTAATTGGGACTTAATTTTGCAACATCCAAAGTTTTCATTCAAAGGCATTATAAATCAGGCACAGAGATTGGCAGCAACAGTGTTTAATGGATAATATGTAAACACGGAGTTATAATGACAGAGCTTCAGTGGAACAAAAGCTTGAGCTCTGGTATTTGTTGTAAATATCAAGCAGCTGCTTGAAACATGTGAAACTGTATTTTATTAGGACTGCAAGCTTTGTTTAGTTGGCAGTGCTTGCTAGCAAATGGATCTTAGTTTTAATTGGTATAGAAATTACAAAACCATACTGGTTTATTGTTTCTAGGGTTTTACAACAATGGGGAATCAAATAAAAAGATTCAAGATAATCCTAACTTCCTATATTTATATATAGGTAAAAGAAAAGTCATATAACTTTTCTCTTCTTGCCTTTGCTCTCCTTTCTCCTCTTGAAACTTATGGCCCAGTTTTCTGCCACATTTGACTATCAAAATAAAACGCTTGATACAATATATAATAGGTTCACAAATTATGTCTATGACAGTTTCCACTGATTTCTAGCAATCTCTGCCTCAAAATATTTCATCTTCAGGAGGAGAGCAAAAGCAAGAAAAGAAAAGGCAGAGGTTTTTGAGGTTTTTGACAAATGCCAAATTAATTTACATTTAATTGATCGGTCATAGATGTTTTAAAACTTAGATGACTAGTGAACTAACCACTGTATAATCAAGTATTATAATAACAATCAGAGCATGGGCAGAGGCCCTGCCTCAAAATAGCAGCATCCCTTCCCACCTCCCACCCCCAATTCAATAGCATTTGAAAAAGTTTCTATTTCTGTGCCTTGAGTCAAATAAAAGAGGCAAGCATACTCAGGTATAAGAGCTGGAAAAGCCGTAAGGACATTCCCATTTCCTCTGGACCTGATATAGAAATACTTTGGGCTCAGCAGCACTTTTTCATGCGGCTGCTGATAAAAACAGGATCGCCAACATGATCACCAACGTGCGATAACGGATATGGCACAAGAAAATTCAAATTTTTCAAATTTATTTGATTTATATACCGCCCTTCTCCCTTGCGGGACTCAGGGCGGTGAACAGGCACATTAATAAAAGAAGAAGAATAATGTCATAATGATGACAGTGCGTTCCTATTTTTCTGGTGGATTTTCTCCCCCATATCCTTCTATCTTCTTGCAAACATGATTACAATCTATTAATCGCCAATTGAATTATTAAAAAAAATAGGGCAATTAATTTCCAAATTAAAGAAATAAAGGACCTACAGTATGGAAATATGGATTCATGTAGTCATACCTAATGCCTGGAACTATTACTTTTTCTCTGCCTTACATTGTCAAGTTTGCCATGTTCAGCTACACCTGCTACCATTTTGAAGTACTGGTTGGTTTTGTGCCTTTGCTCTTCAGGCAAGCTTAAAAGTTTTTAAATTGTGTCTGTTAAGATGTGAAATTGCTCTCAAGAGAAGGAGGGACCATGACAACAGGCAATGACAATGAGTCTCTCAAAATGCAAAATTTTAGTCCAAGAAGGGATTGGCACATCTAATAGCACTAGGGAATATGTTTCATTAGTACGACAGCACCTGTTTTTAGATATTTCTCTACATCCCCCCAAAAGACTCTTTTAGCTAGTCTATTAGCATAACTATAGTTTTCAGAGATATATAGCTTTTAGATCAGGTTTCTACAACCTGGGTTCTGATTCCTGAACATTCCCACCAACATAGATCTCAAGAACTGCTGTGCTATATTCTGAATATCACTCCACAGCATTGCTTGTTAAAACATGGACTGACT